TCCCCCAAAGAAGCTGCGGGGGACTGAGCAAATGAAAGAAAAGCTCTTCTTGGGAGCTGTGGCACAGGGGGTAGGGGTGGGGGAGGGGCCGGGCCAGTAACAGGATAGGGGGTTACCATTCCCACGGGTGAAAGGGGAGTGTGAACATTTAAGGAGGTAGAACTGCTTCTTAAACTCCCACTAGCACTAGAGGAGCAGGGCTGGATGGGAGGAAGCCAGATGGGGAGTCGCAGGAGCCTCCTGGGGACGGCCCGGGGAAACCTTGAGGGCCCTTCCGGGAGTGCCCCCCCCCCACACACACACACACACACGCTCTCTCCCCCACCTGCACAGCTGACACCCGGGCCCACCCTCCCAGTCAGCAGGAATTTGCCCCATGACCTTCCCTGGTACACTCCCGTCACCATGGCGACTGGCCTTGGAACAAGCGGCCTGATTGTCCCTGCTCAGCGGGGCAGGTGAAACCCGGCCACGTGACCGATACTGGGCTAGGTGCAGCTGCCTCCTTACCTTAACCCATTCTGTGCCGCCTGTCTCACAGAGCTGCCAGTGGCAGCCACAGGGGTACAGTGTCCGGGATGCCACCGGCCTCTGGACACCCCTCCCCCGAGGCCCATCCCATCCCATCTCCCGGAAGGGCTGTGATGAAGACCTGGAGCCCTGCAAGAGCAGCCTCAGCATGAAGCCAGGCTGGCCGGCCGGGCAGGGGGCTGGGTGACTGAGCTAGTTTACAAGGCTGGTTCCGCACCAGGAAAACCACCCCACCTCCCAGGAAGGAGGCGGCTTCTGCGAAAATGACACCAGAGTGGAGGGGACCTCTTCCAGAAGGTGGGGCATCCCACACACCCACACTAGAATATCAGGGGCTGCACTGGCACCCCTCAGTGGCTTGACCCCCTCCACAGCTAAATGCCAGTCCACCGGCCCCACTTCTAGTGAGCTGGCCCAGGACATCAACAAGCCTTCCCAGGTAACAGCAGCCCCTCCTCACACCTGGATGTTGAAGTAGTAACCTCAGGCAGACTGGTTTTTCTGCTTACCAGGCCCTCCCCTCCCAGGATGAGGCTGGTGTCCAAATGTCTCCAGGGCAGGTAGCTTCTACCCCCACAGCCCAGGCTCTCTGGCTCCTTGGCAGATGGTCAAGGATCGTGGGCCCAATTTGAATTGCCTAGCTAAACACTAGGCTGGCAGGGAGAGGGGACATGTTTGGCGCCATCTCTGAAGTCACTCATCTGTGTCAATTAAGTCACCAAGCCACCGAGGGTGCCCCCATGCCAGGTAGAAAAACACCCTGCTTGATCCTCCCTTCTAGGGACTTCTCCCACGTCAGGGGACTGAGATGGTCTCTTCACTCCCTAGAGCCCCTGCTGCCAACCAGTGCCCACACCACCTGCTGTGCTCCAAATCCCCGGGGACCTCAAGGCAAAAACCAAAAAACACCTGGGCCCAGCCCAGGGAGTGGGGGTGGGTGCGGGCCGGTGGATTCAGGATACAGGCCATTTTCCTGGGCAATGAGCTGGAACCTAGCTGGTCCTCAGTTCCATCAGGCCAGCCGGAAGGAACTGGGAGGGGGCAGGTGTCACCTCCAAGCCCAGGCTTCAAGGAACACCCCAGCTGCTCCGTGCTGCGCGCTGACAAGGCCAGATCTCTAACTCCACATAGCAGGTCCTGACAAAAGCTTTGGGAACATGGAGTGGACGAGACTGGTTTCGACTGGGGAGATCCAGGAAGGCTGGGGGAGAAGGTGGCAGTTAGACTGGACCTTAAAGTGTAGGAAGGAGACAGGCGGCGGCTGGCAGGCAGCGCAACTCCCCCTGCAGGAAGAAAGGCGTAGGGAAGGTCTGCCTTGGGTGTCATAGCTGGGTGCCCTGCTGGGCAGGCACAGGGAAAGCTATTGGAAGGGGAGATCAAACGGGACAAAGGGAGGGAGGAAAAAAGCTATGGAGAAACTTCAACTATCCAATGGGGAGTGCCTAGCAAGTTTTGACCACATGATTATATAGGCTTAAAAGTCATGGGCTGCATGGGGAGCCAGCTCAGACCCTAGACAATGCCACCTGTACCAGAGACTGGGGAGAGAAGGCAGCAGACTCCAGAAGGTGGCATCCTGGCACCATGTCCTAAGTTTAGGGGTAGTTCATTTGGGGTTCGTTTCTTTGCCGATAAAGAATGTGGGGGCAAAGTGGGGGGCGTTGACCTAAGCTATATTCAGGTCAACTGAGCAAATATTCCCAACAGCACCTGGGGGTGGGGGTTCACCCTGAAATCCATACCAGACCAGCATTGTGGCTCTAGCTCTGCCTCGGGCACCCCGGTTTCGCCATCTGTCGAGGGGAATTTGGAATCCGGAATCTCCCTAGCTCTTGCGCCAGCCAGCAGCTTTCAGGATGGGCATGAAGAGCCCCGCGCTGCTGAGCTCGGCGCCTCGGAGCTTGCGCCCGGACTAGAGCCACTCCGGCGCCTCGCGCCCATGCCCGCGCCCGCGGCACAGAAAGTATGGCAACCACCCAAGGTGGCACGTGGGGGCAAAGGGGCAGGACAGGTGCAGGTCGCCGTTTCGGCTTGCCAAGGCTCTGCCCGACAGCGCCCAGAGCCAAAGTGCGACGAGCGAGCGGGGGTTACCCGTAGCTCAGACGGCTGGCCCCGCCTCCCGCCTGGATTCAGCGCGGAAGAGAGGGGCGGGGCGTATCGAGGGGGCGGGGCAGCGCTTAGAGTAGACTCCGCCCAGGGCAGGGCCAGGGGCGGAGCTCCCGGCTGCGGGCGGGCTAGTGAGAGGGCATTACGTAATGGTGCAAGGGGAAGAGCTGGGGAAAGGTGGCGCTCTCGGGTTACGTAAGAAAACGTGACCCAAGGCGAGAATTACGCGGGAGCCTGGGGGCGAGGGCGGAGCTCCGGCCGGCCTCTGACGGCGGGGGAGGCGGGGCGTCGGACCGGACGTCTACCACGAGGTAGCATCTAGCCATGCTCCGCTGGGCCCACGTCGGGAGGCTCCCCCAGGGGGGACGCGGCCCCGCGCGGCCCAGCTCCTCCAGGGTGCCCGTCGCAAGCGGCAGCGGCCGAGGCGGAGCCGATCCGAGGTCAGTCAAGGGCGCCAGCTGGGAGGCCGCTTTCTGCCCCGCCCTCTTCGCTCTGGCCCCGCCCCCGGATGGGCCCGCCCCTTCAGCAGGGCTCCCTTCAGGCTCCTCCCATTGCTGGCTCAGACCCTCCTCCCGCCAGGCCGCTGCCCCTCTCGTACTCGCTCGTGGACGGGGAGGGGTCCCGCCCGGCCCTCGTCTTTCTGCACGGGCTCTTCGGCTGCAGAAACAACTTCAACTCCATCGCCAAGACGCTGGCCCAACGGACAGGCCGGAAGGTGCGCTTCCGGGCGGGGCTCCACGGGGCGGGGCCTGCCCCTCAGCTCTCACTGCTGGGGGGCGGTGATTGGCAGGGATCCCAGAGGGGAGCGTGACTCCGCCGCCCCCGCAGCAGAAACGACAGGAGCTGGCCTTCCAAGGATGACCGTGTCACCACATCCCTTCCCGCAGCCTTCCTTCCATCCATTCAGACCTGGGAAAAGACACCCTGAACCCGGCGCGCCGCTGCCCCAGCACCGCCTCCGCAGGGCAGCCGTTCTCGCTGCTGTTTCCAGCCTTTTGTGTAGTTTGTGTAGTTGCTGCTCCTCCCCCCCAGCCAGGCCAGTCCTGCTGAGCCGCTGTCACACCCTTTGGGCCTCGCTGTTCGAATAAGCCCAGGTTGTCCCCCTTTCAGGTCAGGCCCGCCCACGGGCTACACACACATACACACACCATACACGCCCTCCCCACCCCTTGTGCCAGCCTGCCAGGCCTTTGACATCTGGAGCCCAGAAGTGCCAACTGTGTCCCCGCTCGCACCACCACTACCATGCCTCCTGCTCTCCAGGTGCTGACAGTGGATGCCCGGAACCATGGTGACAGCCCCCACAGCCCAGACATGAGCTACGAGGCCATGAGCCGCGACCTGCAGGGCCTCTTGCCCAAGCTGGGCCTGGCGCCCTGCGTCCTCATCGGCCACAGCATGGGAGGCAAGACAGCCATGTTGCTGGCCCTCCAGAGGGTGAGCCACCCCGCCCAGCAGGCTCCAGTGATTGCCCCAGCCCCTGTGGGCCCAGCCAGTGGCCCGTCCCCAGCCTGTGTCTCGCCCGCAGCCGGACCTGGTGGAACGCTTGATCGCCGTGGACATCAGCCCCACGGAGACCGCCTCGGTCTCCAACTTCCCATCCTACATGGCTGCTATGCGGGCCGTAGCCATCCCAGATGGTGTGCCCCGCTCCCACGCCCGCAAACTGGCCGATGAGCAGCTCAGCCCTGTGGTCCAGGTGATGCCCCACACCCAACCGCGGTGCGGGGGACTGGGGCCCACTAAGGACGGAGTAGACACCTCAGGTCTCGCTGGACGCCCTCTCAATCCTTCCCCGCACAGGACTTAGCTGTCCGGCAGTTCCTGCTCACCAACCTGGTGGAGGTGGACGGGCGCTTCCTCTGGAGGGTAAACCTAGACGCCATGGCCCAGAGCCTGCAGGAGATCATGGCCTTCCCACCTCGCCAAGAGTCCTACCTCGGACCAGTCCTCTTCCTGCTAGGTGGCAACTCCCAGTTTGTGCAGTAAGCCACAGGGGGTGGGGAGGGATGCTCCCTTCTCACCCACCCCCTAACCTGTCTCCTCCCTGGGAGAGGTCGTGGTCACCCACGGGGATCTCCTGAGGCCCCAGAAACAGCCCTGGTCACTCACGGGCTTCCCATCTCTCCCTTTGCTTCTCTTTCCCACCCTGTCCCCCCACTGCCATGCCTCCTCGATGGCCACCTCTGCGGCGACAGCCCCAGCCACCACCCTGAGATCAGGCGTCTCTTCCCTCACGCCCAGCTGCAGACTGTGCCTCACGCGGGCCACTGGGTGCACGCAGACCGCCCGCAGGACTTCATGGCGGCCATCCGAGGCTTCCTGGCCTGAGAGCCCCTCCTTGCTGGCAAGAGGGGGCACGGAGTCCCGGCATCCAGGGCCCCCAGCCTCTCCACACAGCTGCACTGAGTGACTCGGGCAGGCACTGGGCAGGTTTCAGGGCACAGAGGGGCCAGACCTCAAGCTTTAATGAATAAAGATGCTGCTCCTGAGACCCAGAGTTAGGCAGTGTGCTCACCGATGTTTCCACCAGCCCAGGAGGGGCTGGGCCCTGGGGACCCTGGCAGCTCCCGAGGCACGCAGAGCGCCCGCAGGCTCTCTCTGCAGCTGACGCCGAACCTGCTGTTGCACGAGCTCCCGCATGTCCTCCTGAAAAAAGAAGGGCAGGTCCATGGCTGGCCCTGGGCCCTCTACCCCGCATCTCCCAGGCCGGCCGGCCTGCCCGCTCTACCTCCCAGGCGTCCACCTCCTGCTTCAGCCTCAGTTTCTCCTCCAGGGCCTCCAGCAGTTGGGCCTCCACAGTGCGCAGCGTGGCTCGGCACACCTCCAGCTCCGCCTCCACGGCCTGCTTCCTGCCATGGCAGGCGAGGCAGCTAGAGAACCAGGTCGCTTGCCAGGAGGGCCCACCTGCCCCCCACCCCCCACCTGGGGCAGGACGGGACCCTTGGGGTGATGCTGCCCCGGCCCGGCTGCCTCTCACTTGGCAATGGCATCATCACGCTCCTGGAGGACCCGGTCCAGCGAGAGCTCTGTCCGGGAGCCCCCCAGGGCGCCAGCCTCTTGGGATTCTGGGCTCACTGGCCTCAGGGTGGCAGAAGGAACCTGGATGAAGGAGCCCTCTCACAGAGTGCTGAAGGTTGCCTGTGCCCGTTCCCTGGCACCCCAGGCTCAGTGACTCTGGAATGTCGAGCAGGGTCCTTGGGTCATGCTGAGGTGACAGGTGTCACCTGGCTGACCTAAGGACAAGCACAGTGAGCAGATGTTTGGAGCCACCGAGGAGAAAAGGCATGGACGCCCAAGCCCCAGAAGGGGCCAGGTGGGTGGCTTCTGAAGGACACTTACCTCTCAGCCCTGGACGGAGAGGACCTGGTGACCAGGACTCTTGTGAGCCGGGTGGGGCTGGAGGCCTTTGCCCTCCCTCCCTTCAGGCGGCACTCCCTGCCAGGCCCCGCCCCTGTGCCTGCTGGCCCCGGGCAAGGAGGCTGTCCTGTCCCCCTGGCTCCCGGGCTGAACCCTGGAGCCTGTCTCTTGCAGTCCCTTACCCCGAGGGGGCACTCTGCCCACGTCTGGAAGTGAGAAAGGGGCGGGGCCAGGACTTGGCCCCAGAACTGCTTCAAGGCTGAGCTACCAGAAGTGCCCATGACATCATCGCCATATACAGGGGGCTGTAGGAAGTTGCCTGGAAAATTTATTTCCCCTTGCCTTTCGACTCCCCGTTTTGCTACGAACTTTTTGAAACCCCCTGATATCCCCAACTCCAATTCCACTCCTTCCCCAACTGAAAACAAAAGGGCAAAAGATCAAATTCTCTCTGGAAAACTCTAAATCGGCACCCTCTGGTTCCCTTCAGCCTTCCAGGCTGCGAATACTGAGCCAGGGTTGGGTCGGCTGTGTCCGCAGGGGTCTCAGCCTCCAGGCTTCTCAACCGGCCTGTAAAACTGTAGGGGGGATTTTCCCTTCAGAGGCCTGTCCAGCAAGGGAACATCTTGGAGACACCGACTCTGCTCCGAACACGGGATACTTCCCTCGGGAGCCGCCAGGGGGCGCTCCCCTGCAGCGTGGGCTCGCGGGGCCTGGAGACGCTCTGGTCCCAACTCTGCTCTGAACACGGAATACTTGCCTCGGGAGCCGCCAGGGGGCGCTCCCCTGCAGCGTGGGCTCCCGGGGCCTGGAGACGCTCTGGTCCCAACTCTGCTCTGAACACGGAATACTTGCCTCGGGAGCCGCCAGGGGGCGCTCCCTGCAACGCGGGCTCCGGGCTCCGGCGGGAGCGTCTCAGCCCGGGTGCGAGGGGGAGGCTGGTGCTGAACCCCAAATTCTCACAGAGCTCCTGGTTCTCACAGAGTCGCTGGCAGGACAGTAAACCAGAGCCTAACTGCCGTCCAGTCCATTCTGACTCCTAGTCGACGGGGCAGGGCTGCCTAGGGGGGTTTCCGAGACCCCCAGAGCGAGAGCGGCTGGCGGGTTTTGAACCGCCGAGCTTGTCGTTAGCAGCCCACCTCGTAATCACTACGCCTCCAGGACCTTTGGCAGGGCTGTAAGCATCAAACCCATCAGGAGAGCTCTGGGACACTGGGGGCACAAAGCCACCCCTCTCGTACCCAGGCTCGTCGGCCTAGGAAGCCATGTTCGACCACCAACAGTGCTGTATGTCCAGATACTGACTCTGGTACAGATGTGAACTCTATTCAACATGCTTCATTTCTCAAGAGATTGAACAAAATCCAAACTCCTTTCAGAATGTTCTAAAGTCCTAAGACAGTAATGGCGATGTGCATCCGTGCCAGAGATGTCCTGGTCACCAGGCAGAAAGAGCAGTTCCTACAGCAGTCACCCGGTCAAAACTCCCTGCTAAGCAGCCCGCCCCCCACCACTGAGTCCCCAAACCAGGCCATACCGACCCTGCTTGGCGCTGGAACACACAGTGAGGCTGCAAAAGCAGACACCTCCACTTTATCCTGGAAGATGGGTTAAAAAGCAAACGTTTTTCATTGCCAAAGGGGACAGCTGAGCAAGAAAAATTTCCCAACAAGAGGTCGGAAGGCCAAATAAGTCCCGAAACCCTATGCTCTTGAGCAAACATTAAGGGGAGCGGTCCCAGCTTCCAAGCCGAAGGCACACAATCCCTTGGATGATGACTGTCTCGTTTCTCTGATGGCCCCACGGAGATGTTCTCAGGTACCTCGCTCGGCGCTGTCTGTGCTTCACAGACAGCAAAGTTCCACAGGATTTTTAAGAACAAAATCTGAGTAAGTAGTGCTTCTCTCTCTTTTTTTTAAAAGCCAAAGGTCTTAGTGGAAATAAGATAATTATGTGATTGTTTTAAATTCTTTTTTTTCCAAACACGAGCAGCTTTAAGTGGAATGAGTGTTTGCAACAACAACACAAGTGGAATGAGTGTTTATTTTCTTTGAATAAAAATGAATTTTCACACACGCATAAGGAAGTGCTGTGTTTCCAGGCAAAAATAAAGATGACGTGTTCAAGCAAACTGCGATCAGGAATGAGGAAGTGACACACGATGGCAGTGATACGCGTTGGTGACATTGAGAGGCAGCTAGGTGAGAGGGGTTTGAATAAACTTTCACAAAGTGGGGGAGGTAGGGTGTGCAAAAACAATGTTCTACATTGGTGATTTTCCCAGAGTATTTTTCAATGTGTCTGTGGAACCAGCTACATCAGCGGTTCTCAACCTGTGGGTTGCGACCCTTTTAGAGATTGAATGACCCTTTCACAGGGGTTGCCTAAGACCATCGGAAAATACATATTTCCGATGGTCTTAGGAACTGAGACCCCACTCCTCTATAGTCTCCAGGTGGGTCCGCCCACAGATACGCCCACATATGAGTACCCAGCGTGAAGACTTATCCATGCTACACCAAGGTTCAAGACAAAATTTCACTTATTTGTAATTAGAAATAAATATCTCACAAAATATAATCACATATTGTTTTTGTCATTAATCACTATGCTTTAATTATTTACAATTT